ACCTCATAAAACCACACTAAATAAAGATTAAATCTTTACAGAATGAGAAAATGACTGACAGCCTCCTACAGGAACTTATTTCCTTATTTTTCTTTTTAATTTTCTTTTATATCTTTTTTTTTAATTGTGATTTCAGTGAAGATTTACAGAGAAAATTCACTTTCCATTTCCTTATTTTTCAATTAACACTTTCATTACATTATTCTCATATTTATATCTCTCAGACTAACATTTTAATTCAATTATTTATCTTAGATATTCTAGGGAAACAAAGAAAGGCTAATCAATATATTGTGTAGTAATTTGGAGTTTAAAAACTGTTCTTTGGCCTGTTCACCTCTAGACTAAATAATTGCAGTTCCATTTAATTGCCAGAAAGGTGTTTTTGTTTATTGGCTTGTTTATTTCAAATGGCCTTTTAATCACCTTAGACTTTTCATTTTATTTAGATTACATCTTTAGAACCCACACATTCCATTGAAGGTAGAAAACCTAAAATTGAACCCACTGTTTTGAGGCAGTAATTAGTCTAGCAAGGAATGATGTGAGAATAACAGAAATGATTAAATCAAGTATTTAGGTAATTTTCTAATTTAAATACTTGACTGGTTTTTCTTATCCTTTAGGAACCACAAATTCATAAAAGGGCCATCTGAAAATTGAAAGAAAACCAACAAAACAATATTTGAAATAGATTCATAGATCTTTCTGACTTTTTGATAGGATACAGTCTAGATCAGAGGTCAGTGAACTGGTTATGTGTACAGCTCACTGGTCCTCTCGAAACAGCTGCCTGTTTCTGCCTTGTGGTCAGCTAAGAATTATATTACATGTTTAATGTTTGTTGTCTGGTTTTTTTGTGCCATTGAGTAGAATCCAACTCAAAGTGACCCCATGAATTACTTTTAAATATTATATAACTTTGATGGCTTGCAGGGACTAAAGTATTTAATATCTGGCCCTTTAGGAGAAAGGTTGCTGACCCTTGCTCTAGATAATTTTTCTTTTTCTTAAAAGGAAGAATTCAAAGCTTATGTGGAATGACTATACTGTTGATGAGAGTATAAGTAGATACTCAGTTGACAATTGACCATTCGTGGCTCTTAGCCACTTAGAATTTTTTGTCTGGAATGGGTTACTTAGGCTTTTATTTGTCATTAAATATTTGGCATCCTTTCTCATGAAGTATGGGTGGCCATTTCCTACAAAATCAAAGAAATTATTATATAAAATTTTATAGACATCCATTTAGATAGTTTCTCAGAGACCAAAAAGGAAGATAGAGGAGTTTGATACGTACCGAGACCCCCCTCCTCTGAAAAAAAGGCTTCATGAATTTAATTTCTCATAAAAAAGTTAAAATTGAAAGTATCTTGGACATCTTTGACTGCAGTGATCTTCTCTGGAGCAGAGGGTAAGGTGGCAGAGGGATCAGAAGCAACCTCTAAACATTTTTAAATTACAGTCCTCCAATATCTCCTAGCCAGTGAGACTCTCCGCTGTAGTTAAGAATATGCTTTTCCAAGGAGCTTTCAGTAATCCCTCAGAGGTACTGGGTTGGAAACCAATTATCTCCTTTAACCCCCTCAGTGCAGAGAGTTGAACCATGTTCTCTAGCCCTGCCACTAAACTGTACTCAAGACAAGGTGGGATCCTCCAATAGACTTACTCAAAAACAAACCAAAATTAACACCAGGACTACAAACACTAATCTAACTACCTACACCCTCTTCTCACTTATTGACTATCTCATTATCTGATATTCCACATTTATGACAATATTAAAAAATCTGTTATCTAAATAATATTTGAACAATATGCATCTGGCAGGAATAATCACTGAGGTGGGTAACTAAGATGGGTAAGGTTAAGTGTCAGGTTAACTGGACCGTGATCCTCGTAGTTTGGCAGTTATATAATGATGAATTCTGGCAGTTATATAATGATATAGGCATCCTTCATTCTGTGATCTGATGTGGTTATCCTCCATTTTTGCATATGCCAATTTTCACATAACAACCTAGTCTTTGGGATCTAACCGTGTTGATAAGTGAGGAGAGGGTGTAATAGTATTTCTCTCCCAGGGCATATAATCCTTAAATTAATTTTAAAAGAAAAAGGCCCACATGATTTCTTTCATTTTACCAGAGAAAAAATATTTTGTTTAACTTGAATCATTATCACTTAAACAGATAAAAAATATTGTTTGAAGCTACTTAAAATAATGAGCTAAAAAATTTAGACATTTAATTTAAAATGTATTAATTATTTTTTTAAAGTAGGATGTAATAATATTCTTTGAACAATTTGGCAGAGTTAATTTCCCATCAATGGAATTTATATACTTTTATGTTCTCTGAGGAAAATATGACCAATGTAAACAAATCTCTTGATAATTTATTTTCTAGCTTCTGATACATTTCTCAATAAAGTACAATTTTTATCACTGTATTTGACAGTGATCTAACTGAAAATGAGTAGAGCATACATTCTAAATCTTGTTTAATTGTTTAACCATAGTGTTGTTGTGGTTATTGGTCTGTGGCCCTGTGCACCAAAGGATTGGACTTTTGTGATCCATCGGATTTTCACTGGCTGGGCTTTCAGAAGTATATTGCCAGGCCTTTCTTCCTGGACTGTCTTAGTCTGATAGCTCAGCTATAACCTCAATAGCATCATAGCAACACACAATCCTCCAGGGAAAGACTAATGGCAGCTGTATTTGAGGTGCATTGGCTGGGAATGGAGCTCAGGTCTGCTGCATAGGGAGGTGAGAATTCTACCACTGAGCCATTATGGCTCCTGAGATATAAAAAACCAAAACCAAACTCACTGCCATCAAGTCCATTCCGACTCATAGCAACTCCCATTGGGTTTCTGAGGCTATAAATCTTCATGGACATAGATTGCCTCACCTTCCTTCTGTGGAGCAACAGGTGGGTTTGAACTGCTGACCTTCTTGTTAGCAGCCAAATGCCTTATGCACTGTAACACAATGATAGCTATCATTTATAATACTATCAAAATTCTAAACATATTAATAATCATAGTGTTTCTACTGGTAAACTTAGGAATTTCTTTTCACAGGTGAGAAGATATCATAACAGGGATATGTATGCTGCATTCATTGAATTCACACAGTACCCTGAAAATAACCATGTACTTAAATTGGACTGTTTAACATCTTGCTCTTGATGTCAACTTTCTCTATAACTCTTGACTATCAAGCAAAATAAAAATTATGAATGAATTAGTAAGTTTGGAAGAAAATTCAAATCCCCAAATAATCTTTAGTGCCTAGATTGTTCAGTTGGTTCAACTACATAATTGCCAAGTCCCATTTGTCTTTATACTATTTAGATGTGCCTTGTGGCGTAGTGGCTAAGGCATTTGACTGCTAACCAGAAGACGGGCAGTTCAAATCGACCAGCCACTCCTTTGAAGGAAGATTGGGCAATCTACTTCTTTAGAGATACCACCTCAGAAACCCAAGGAAGGGTCACTATGAGTCAGATAACACTGGATGGCAGTGAGTTTGGTTGTTTTGATTTGGTTTGTAGGTAAAACAAATGGCTTATGTAAAGCGAAAGTGTGTGAAATACTACATGCCCAAGGGGAGGAAACTTTGTTTTGTAGTGCTTAATGTTTAATCCTGGTCATTTCCATGGAAACATAGTTAAAAGAAATCACTATTCTGTAACCGGGAGCTCTGGTAGCATAGTGCCTAAGGCACTTTACTGCTAACCAGAAGGCTGGCAGTTCAAACCCACCAGCCACTCCTCAGAAGGAAGATGGGGCAATCTACTTCCATAGTGATACTGCCTGGGAAACTCAAGGAGGGGTCACTATGAGTCGGGTCTGACTTGATGGCACATAACAACAACAACAACATTCTGTAACTACATATTAAAGCCTATTAAAATTAACCGCTAATAATCGTACTGTGTTTGTAAGACAATAGCATGGTAGCATCACCTACTTCATAAAACTAACTTAAATTAACGAGTAGAGGAAATCATTGGATAACAACAATGTGTTCTCAATCTATTTTGGCAGGTATCCCTTCCCCCTACCCCATTAGAATGCTATAGTTTAATTATTGTTCCAATATAAAAGTCCATAAATATTGTTTTGGTGTACCTAGCTGATGATGGTCCACTATATGATAAATTAAATGCAAATTTCACTAGAGTAAGAAGGAGAGAATGATTGAGGATTTTGTTAGAAATGCTCAACATGGCCCAAGGGAGACCTGTCACTTCAACAAGCTTAAGCTCCAAGGCGGGTGTGGTATTTCCATTCACATCCCAACTACTGGACTCATAGCTCTTGATTCACAGTCCAGACTGAAACTAGGAAACCCTCCTTTAACTACCAGCTTTCTGCACAGTGTAAAAACAAAAAAGGGAAATTCCGGAAAATGAAAGAATATATTTCGATTTTTCTTTATTTCAGAACAAATAAACACAATTTTTTGCTTAAGAAATAGAGTTTCCAGAGAACTGCTTTAGCAAACCCAAACCGCTTAACTATTTGATGTGCCTGTAAGGTATGCTAAACTTTGAACAAGCCAAGGTCTTCCGTTCGTTGCTAAGGTCTATGGGAGCATAACCCTCACGGAAGTCTATGTGGTCCCCTGGGCCCATCTCCGCGTGCGAGCCAACAAGCCGGCAGAGCCTGGGAGCCGCCTGGACGCTGGCAGTGCGTTCCCACGCTCAGGCCGGGTCGAGAGGCCGCGGTGACCTCAAGGGGCTCCTTCCCTGACTTTCGCGTTCCCAGCCCCTCCCAGACGCCTCTCCTCTCCTGGTTCCCGCTCCGGAGCGTGGGAGCGCAGCTGTGGCCCGGAGCCGGTGCCGAGGCAGCTTCGAGGATGCTCGCCCATCGCTGAGTGAGGCTGAGGGTGAAGCGAAATGTAGGGAATCTCGCCAGGGCCGCCCGCAGCTCGTCCACACCCACACTTGATACCAAGTGGGTCAGAGCTGAAAGAGTTGGTTACTTACTTGATGTCTTCCCACACCTCAGGACCATAATTTCGGATTACCAGCAGCTCCAGGGCGTGATTCACAAATCCGTACTGCAGGAACAGGGGAAAACCTGAGCATCAGGGTTTGGTTGTAGGGCAAGACGATTGGGGTAGAATCTGCTGCCTCTGCTCCCACTAGGCTGGTTTCATCTTTATCCTAGTCCCTCTGGCTATGCTCCATTCCAGGTACTCGGTGTGAAAGAGTGGATATGGGGGCAATGCCCCTTCAGCACCCCAGTTTGGGGCACATCCTCCATCTCACCAACCTCCCCACCCCCACACCACCTTCTTAGCCCCCATCACCTTTCTCTGCTCAGAGAACCTTGCGGCCAGAGGTGACCCGCACTTGGCACCTCCCGGCCTCCAACAATCAGCTCCCACCCCAGCGGGGCGGGCTAGAGTGGGGAAGACCCTGCGCCCCAGACGGACCTCCCCTTCCCCAGCTCAGGAAGCTGCAGGGCGGCGCGGAGTACCCGCCTGAGAAGGAAAGGCGCCTCGCCTGGCCTCGCCGCGACCCCGAACATTGCCACCTCTCCTCTCTCCGTTGCAGCCAAACAGCTAGGCTTCTAGGCGGCCGGCAGTGCGCTCCCCCAGCCCCCAAGCCAAGCTCTGGCTCGCAGCGCAGCTGCTTCTCCCCGCGGCCAGGCCAGGCCTGGCCTTGCGCGAGGTTCCGGCGACCCTCTGAGCACACTCACCATGGTGTCTGAGCCCGCAGTCCAGAATGTAGCACCCTAACAGAGGCAGTAGCCGAAGGGTCCCAGGCAGCGGCTGCGGCGGTTAACAGCGTTACGGGACAGCTGCAGCAGCGCGGAGCCTGGGCGAGCGCAGCCACCTCTCAGCCCGCCCTGATTGCCACCTCCTCGCGGCCAATGGCGAATCGCGCCGCAGGAGGCTGGCCGCTACCTCCCAGTTCTCAAGCAGTCAGTGACAGAGGAGGAAATTTGGTTTCTCTCAATGCTTCTATGCTCCAGAGCTTCCTGCCCCCGCCCTGGTGACAAGACCTTCATTTGAGGCATAAAAATGACGATGGAGAAGCTCAAACCATGCCCCTTGCAGGAACTGGGCTAGGAAGAATGCCGTTGTTGTGGTTCCACTACAAGTACTCTTATCCAGTTATCTGTCCTCGTGGCAAAAACTAAGGAGGGGTGTGTGTGTGTGTGTGTGTGATGGCAATGAACAGGCCTTAAAAGGATTCTACCCCCTGTGGTTTACATCCTCATCTTTATTGTAGTCTTGCAGAAAAACATTTTCTCTGATTTGATCCAGCACTAGCACAAGGCAAAATGAAAGCTAATAATACTGAGCTTAGTGCATTTTACTTTACAGTCAATGAGACTAGTGAGTAACCCAGGTGAATCTTCAGTAGGTAAATGTCTGCCCATTATTAACTTCTCCACAAGATCCAGTGATGTTCTGTGCTTGACCTAGGAAGAATACTTGACACTACTCATGTCCAGCAGCCATCACTTCAAGGAATTTTAAAGTCTCTGGAACTGGTCTGTTTCTCAGAGTTAACTGATGAACTACATAAGGGTCAATACAAAAGTGAACTGGCTTTAGTTTAATGTAATCCTACTATATATTTTAGGAGCCCAGGTGGACAGTGGTTAAGTGATCAGCTGCTAATCAGAAGGTCTGTGGTTGAAACTTACCATCAACTTCTCAGGAGAAAAATATGGCAGTCCGTCTCTTGAAGATTACAGCCTAGAAAATACCATGGGGCAGTTCTACTCTGTTCTATAGAGTTCCCTATAGTTGGAATTGACACCACAGGAAAAAAGCTGAGAGGAACAGGATCTGTCTGTTGATTAAAGCTTTATCTGTATCTCAGGTAGTGGGTACTGATTGGCAACTGACAAAGACAAAAGGGAAGAAGGGACGGCAAGAGGTGGTTCTAGATCCTCAGTTTCATGTAGAACTGAAAGTTTAGGATATTACTCAAATGTATGAATAGTTTGCTGGGAGAACAATTTTAATATTTAAAAACAAACAAACAAATTCACTACTGTCGAGTTGACTCCGACTCATAGCAACCCCTCCTTCGGTTTCCAAGGTGGTATCTCTACGGAAGTAGATTGCCCAGGCTTCCTTCTGAGGAGTGGCTGATGGTTTTGAACCACCAGCCTTCTGGTTAGCATTCAAATGCCTTAGGCACTACGCCACCAGTGAAATCATTATAGTGGAATGGGTAGCCAGAGACATATGCAGAATGATTGTTACAGAATTAATTATAGCAATCATAGAAAAAGACAACAACTAACTTGTAAAAATATTAATTTCCATTAATGCAGCATGACTCATCTTTCAAGTAACAGATCACCTTACTCTATGTTGTCATTTGTTGTTAGGTGCCATAGAGTCATTTTTTACTCATAGTGACCTTATGTGTAACAGAAGAAAATACTGCCTGGTCCTGTGCCATCCTCGCAATCATTGTCATGCTTGAGTCCAGTATTGAAGCCACTGTGTCAATCCATCTCATTGAGGGTCTTCCCTTTTTCCACGACCCTCTACTTTACCAAGTATGATATCTTTATCCAGGGAACAGTTCTTTGTGACAACATGACCAAAATACAAGAGACGAAGTCTCGTCATCCTCCCTTCTAAGGAGTACCCTGGCTGTACTTTCTTGAGGACAGATTTGTTCATTCTTCTAGCCATCAGGAAAAACATTTAATATTTTTCACCAACACTACAATTCAGATAAATCAATTCTGCAGCTTTCCGTACTTAGTTTCCAGCTCTCACATGTGTATGAGGCTATTAAAAAAAAAAAAAATAGCTTTGGTCTGGTGCACCTTAATCTTTAAAGTGACATCTTTACTCTAAAATCCTTTAAAGTGGTCTTTTGCCCAATGCAATACGTAATTTGATTTCTTGACTGATGCTACCATGGACATTGATTGTGGATCCAAGTAAAATGACATTCTTGACAACTTCAGTCTTTCCTCCACTTATGATGTTGCTTATTGGTCCAATTGTGAGGATTTTTGTTTTCTTTATGTCGAGATGCAATTTATACTATTATGTTGTTATGTTGTTGTTATTTGCCGTCGAGTCGGCCCCGACTCATAGCGACCCCTCCTTGGGTTTCCGAGGCAGTATCACTACGGAAGTAGGATTGCCCAACCTTCCTTCCGAGGAGTGGCTGGTGGGTTTGAACTGCCAGCCTTCTGGTTAGCAGTCAAGTGCCTTAGGCACTATGCTACCAGAGCTCCCTATATACTATTATAGGCTATAGTATTTTATCTTCATCAGTAAGTGCTTCAAGTCTTCACTTTCAGCAAACAAGGTTGTGTCTTCTGTGTATCTCAGGTTGTTAATGAGTTTTCCTCCAAACTCTCTGCCATGTTCTTCTTCATATAGTCCAGCTTCTTGAATTATTTGCTCAGCATACAGATTTAATAAATGTGGTGAAAAGATCCAACCTTGGTGCACACCCTCTTGATTTTAAACAAGTCAATATCCCTTTGTTCTGTTTGAATGATTGCCTCTTGGGTTATATAGTTTCCCCATGAGCACAATTAAGTGTTTTGGAATTCCCATTCTTTGCAATGTAATCTGTAATTTGTTATGATTGACACAGGTGAATACTTTGCATAGAAACAAAACAAGGACAAAAACATCTTTCTGATATTCTCTGCTTTCAGCCAAGGTCTATCTGACATCAACAATGATATTTCTCTTTCCATGTTCTCTTCTGAATTCAATTTCAATTTCTGGCAGTCCCTGCCAATGTACTTTAGCTAAAAACCTCTTTGAATCATTTTCAGTAAAATATTACTTGAGTGCCATATTAATGATACCTGTTTGATAATTTCCACACTCTGTTTTATCACATTTCTTTGAAATGGGCACAAATATGGATCTTTTCAAGTCAGTTGGCCAAGTGGCTATCTTCCAAATTCCTTGGCATAAATAAGTGAGAGCTTCCAGTGTTCATTTGTTTGTGGAAATATTTTCATGGGTATTCCATCAATTCCCAAAACTTCATTTTTTTGCCAATTCTTTCAATACAACTTGGATGTCTTCCATCCATACCATTAATTCTTGAACATATGCTGCTGGTTGAAATGGTTGAACATGAACCAATTCTTTTTGGTAGAATGACTCTGTTTATTCTTTCTATCTTCTTTTGATACTCCTGCATCAATCAATATTTTGCCCATTGAATCCTTCAATATAGCAAGTTGAGGCTTGAATTTTTTATTCAGTTTTTCAGCTTGAGAAATGTCAAGCATGTTCTTCCCTTTCGATTTCCTAATTCCAGGTCATTGCACATTTATTTGTAATATTTTGTGTTCTAGAGCCATCCTTTAAAATCTTCTGCTCAGCTCTTTTACTTCACCATTTTTCCCATTCACATTAGCTACTCTACATTCAAAAGCAAGTTTCAGAGTCTCCTGTGACATCTGTTTTGGTCCCTTCTTTTCTGTCTTTTTAATGACTTGTTGCTTTTTCATGTACAATATCCTTGATGACATCCCACAACTCCTCTGGTCTTCAGTCATTAGAGTTTAATTTGTCAATTCTATTCTTCAGATGGTCTCTAAATTCAAGTAGGATATACTCAAAGTTATATTTTGGCTCTCGTGGGATTGTTTTAATTTTCTTCAGCTTCAACTTAAATTTGTGTATGCGCAATTGATGGTCTTTTCCACAGTCAGCTCCTGGCCCACAGTCAGATGATATAGTCAATTTGATTCTTGTGTATTCCATATGGCATAGCCTATGTGTACAGGCATGTTTTATATTGTTGGAAAAATATATTTTCAAGTCTTCAAAATTCTGTCATGTTAACTCTGGTGTCATTTCTATCACCAAGGCCATAGTTTCCAACTGTTGTTGTTGTTATATGCCATCAAGTCGGACCCGACTTATAGCGACCCCTCCTTGGGTTTCCAAGGCAGTATCACTCCGGAAGTAGATTACCCCATCTTCTGGTTAGCAGTCAAGTGCCTTAGGCACTACCAACTACTGATGTTTATTCATTGTTTGCAACATTTGCATTCCAATCATCAGTATTTATCAAAGCATCTTAATTACAT